GGAACCTCGGTGCCGGGCAGTCAGAAACGCAACAGAAACGGGATTGGAAAGACCTGAGCGCGGGCTGAGCTGGGGCTTGACCTGCCCGGGCTTCTCCTAATGCTGGGCTCGCAGCGAGGTCTTCATGTCCCCCAGCACCGCCAGAACGGCTCCGAGGGGACTGACAGGTAGAAGGGCTCCATTTTTTTATCAAAGGTGATCTTAAAATATTAAGCACCTCCCGCCTGACAACCTTTTTCTCCCCCCCACCTTTCTTTTTTTTTTTATTAGGCTTGTTCTAGATGAGGTTCTTCGCTGTCACACACAAGAAAAGCTTCACAAAGACTGTGCAAACAATGCGTTTCCTCTTCTCCTAAAGCCCATTTCCTCTACCAGCCCGATCCCACTGCGAAGCCACAATAGACTTGACCCGGAATCGTTGCCATAGCAAAGAAAACAAATGCCACAAACAAAGAAGATGGTTAATGGAGGGAGTAAATGATCAGCAAGATTGAAATGAAAGTCTTTTGGCAAAAGCAGGAGAGCGCGCTGCAGGCAGGCAGGCCGGCCGGAGGATGACCTCCGTCCTTGCCCCGTACACCATCTTCCCAGCATCTGGGTTCACAACCGCATCGCTGGGACTTTGTACGTTCCAATATATTATCAAAGAAATATAACTGGCGGCCTCCTGTCGAAAGGACTAAGTCCGTTTCCTGACGCCACGGAGCTTGGGGAAGAGCAACGCTTGGGGAGGGGGAAGAGCATGCCCCAGGGCGGACCCCAAGCCCGGCAGCAGAGCTGGACCAAGCCCCAGGAAAGAAATCCCCATCGCCCGGCAGCTCAACGCCCCGCTCCACAGGCACGCGCCGAGTGCCCTCCTTCCAGTGAGCTCATACCGTTGGCTCCTTGTTTACCCGTGCAACGTTAAACAACTGTGTCATCTAGAATTAGCATTCTTCCAGCGCGCAGGCAGAAAGGCAGCCGTGTCAGACGGCACCCTGCTCTGCCTATAGCGCTTTCCCAAAGAAGGTAAACATTTCAATTCCCTGTTTTGTTTGCATTTTTCTTCACCCTCTTCCTCTGACCGTTCTGCACCATTTCAAAAAAGCAGCTCCGCTGACCGGCCATTCCTGCGGGCACGTGCAAATGAGCGGTTTTCTCCCTGCAGCCCCAGAACTTGCATTACCAAGCAGCAGACAACTTTCTTCAGGGCCACCACATCTAAATTCAGCTCCTTCCACCTCACACAACCCGAACCGTCGGCTGGGCTAACCTCCAGACCTCCCTGCTGAAAAATCCGCCGCTTCTGAAGCAGCAGAGCACCCAGACCTCCCCACGCACGTCGTGCAAGGGGCCAAGAGCTGGGACAGGCACGAAGCGTTTCGGGGATGGCTCAGTCGCCGCTGATCAGCTTCAGAGATGATCTCGCCCGCAGAAAGAACTTCCCAGACCAACTGTGGGACACCGGACTGTTTTACTCAGGGCGCTGAGAACTGCCAGGATTTATCTGCCTCTTGGAAAAAGCATCTCAGTCGGGCAGAGACAAACGTGCAGCGCTGTGCGTGCCTCAAGCACAATTACAGCCTTTTGCACAGAAAACAGGCGTCAGGAAGGCTCACCTGTAATGTCCTTAAGTTCTGAGGCTCAACCCCCTGAGCTCCAGGCCTGGAGGGAAGCTTGGACAGTCCCTGCTGTCCCACGTGAGCAGGAGATGGCTGGACAATAGACGCCGCATTCTGGACAACTGGAGTCTAGATTGAGAGAAAATGAGACCTGGCATCAGTGCATGGTGCTTGGAAAGGAAATCCATTGACAGACCCGATGTGGACTAAGCCTCATCGTTGCTCCATCAAGCACTAATACTTCAGAGCTGCATAGACTTATCGGTAGATTGGATGTTGGGAGAAATTTCTTCACGGAAAGAGCGGTCAAGCATTGGACCAGGCTGCCCAGAGAGGTGGGGGAGTCCCCATCCCTGGAGGGGTTCAAAGCACGGGCAGAGGTGGCACTGGGGGCCATGGTTTAGTGGGCACGGGGGTGGTGGGTTGATGGTTGGGCTGATGATCTTAGAGCTCCTTTCCAACCTTAGTGATTCCCAGTTTTACTTTCATTATAAATAATCCAGCCACCAAGCCAGGAAACATGACATTAATTATTACTCTGCCCTTAATTGGTTTAGTGGTGGACTTGGTAGTGTTAGGTTAATGGTTGGACTGGATGATCTTAAAGGGCTTTGCCAACCTCCGCGATTCCATGATTCTATGGTCTTCCCAGCTGGCCCTGAGGGCAGCATGCTAGGAAGGATGGGCTGTGGATTTGCTACAGACACACTTTGGTAAGAAATATCCCACAGGAGGACCAATGTGGAGTAAGGGAAGATGCAAGAGCAGAGCAAGCCTTTGTGTGTGCCCACTAACAGGCTCCTGTGAGGCCAAGCACCTTCCCCTCACCCCACCCAGCCCCAAACGATGCTGCCCAGCGCTTCACCTTCTGTACCACGTTCTCCTTTTGCAGCTGACTTTGCCTCAGTTTCTTCAGCAACACAAGCCTGGCCTCCTCCAGCCGTAGCTCATCCCGAAGCTGCTTGATCAGCTGCTGTCGCTCCTCTATGCTTTTACCCTACAAAGAGGCAGAAAATCAGTCAAAACTCAAACAGCCGAAACCGGCTGCTGTGCCTTGGTGGCAAGAGAGCGCAAGGAAGATACAAGCAAGAATTTGTTAATAAATACGAGCAAGAATTTGTACCACAGATAACCAAGGATGCAAGAGCTGGATCCTTATGCCCAGAAGTTACCGCATTGCTCAGAAACCCCCTAAGCTCCCAAATCTTTCAGAAAAGCAGTGGAAGGGCTCTTCGCTGGAGCAGCCGCCCAGGACAGCCAAGAAACCTCTTACCTTAAACATTTCAAGATTTGCTGCCTTAAGTCTTTCCTCCATACGAGAGCTGGAGCGGGGACTGGATGCCTCATTATCGGAGAGGACAATTATATCTGGCGAAGGGGTTAATCGTCCCCTGTCCTGGTCACTGCGTAACAGAAGGGAGGGGGAAAAAAACAAACAAACAAAAAAAAAGACTGAGGCACAACACCGAGACACGGGCAGCAAATCTGGGAGCAGGACAACCCCTGCTCCAGCACGGATGCGAACCGGAGCCCGGCACTGCTCTCCACGCCTGCAGAGCCGACCGACGCCAGCCGACTGCCGGCTTTAGGACAGAAGCATCGGCTTGCGGGAGGGAAGAGACTCATTCAAAACTGTTTGGTGAAAGGTGGGGCTGTTTTAAGCACAAGGTAAGCAAACACGCGATGCAAACCCCATGCGCGAGAGGACCAGCCGGGTGTTAACAACGAGCCATACGGCGACTAAACGGGGAGGCACGACTGCAGCCGAGGTGAGGGAACAGGGGTGGGCACGCCAGCCTGGCGTTGTTCGTACTTACTCAGGAAGATCACCGTGATGCTGGAGATGAGAACGGGCTAAGTCCCCCCGTTAAGAGAAACGTGAACGCTCCGAGCCTGCCTCAACACAAATCTATTTTAAAAGGTCACTCCATAAAAGAAAATCTGAATAAATACCCTGCATCAAGTCAAAAGATCCAATTGAACCATGACCCAGAAATCAGTAAAACAAAAGGAGCAGCAACGACAACAGCCCGTCACTGGGAAAAAAAAAATACTTTAAAAAAAAAAAAAAATCAATGCTATAATCCAGCAATATCCAAGCACCGCACTGTTCGCGGTGGCATCATTCAGAGTAAGGAGACACTAATAAAAGCCCTTTGCTATCACCAATTTAATGTAATGGTGCTTGGAGAGCCTTGGAAAAATGCTAAATAGTCCAGTGCGAAGCAGCACGAGCAGTGCGGTTATAAAGGCGCTGGGCACGCTGCCACCGAGGCAGACAGACTTATCGCTCCCGGGCTCACTGGAAGGTCTTCGGTGTGAGGCTGCGGGTGGGGGGAGATGCGCAGATTATCTTATCCGAAACGCTTATCTTCGAACACCCAGGAGGAAGCGCGGAGCCGAATCCCAGCTCCCAGGCTCGGCCGCTCCGAGGGCGGTGGGTCCAGAGAGGATGCTCGGAGCGGGACGCTGGCTTGCAGCGGGTTTTGCCTTCGGCAGCTTCGCCTCCCAAACGTTACAGCCGCTTTCGTGGGTGTTTCAAAGCACTAGCGCTGCGTAGCTGCCCCCTTCTCCAGCCGCTGCACGCCCGCTGCAAACCCCATCGACCACGCAGTTTGCAAGTCACTCTTCAGCTGGAAAAATGCCCCCAGCAGCGTGGCTCCAAACCATCAAAAAAAAAAAAGAAGAAATCAAAGCCGTGAAAGCTCTTGGCTGAGCCCAAAAGCGCCAGGACACAGCTCTGCGCGGTATTTGCGGGTGCGTTATTTCAGAGCCCTCAAGAACCTCTCTGTGGGCCATCGCACACTTAAGGCATCATACGAATGCGGTATCTGCTGATCAACAGCTACCCCGTTCTTGCGGATCTCCTTCCAGCACCCCACGGACGCTGGGTGTGGGACCCAAACCAGAGGTTTTCCAGCTGCTGCTCCCTCTCCGGAACAGAGGAGGAGGTTTCTCAGGTCGCCGGCGGCAGGAGGGTTTCCAGCTGGGGCTGCGTTCATGGTCTGTCCCAGCAGCGTGGTCAGCAGAGAAGGTCCAGAGCATCCTCTCAAGATAAAGCCAGCCCAAGGCGGGCCAGGCAAACCGACCTGCATCCGAGGAGTTCTACATTGAGCTGGCCAAGAGCAAGAGCTGCTTTTGGATGAGTCTTCAACAGCTCTCAAGCGGCCCGCTGCCCTCCCACAGCATTTTATCTGGCTTCTGCTGTGAGCACCCAAGGTGCCTGTCTCCCCGCTATCCGTCAGGGCACGTCTGTACACGAAACCGCTCAGGAACAAACACGTCCTCGCAGCCAAGCAGGTATCCCGGGTCAACTTGCAGCCACCATTCCCCAAACGGAGTTTCAAATGTCAGCAAGTACTGCGACGACCAAGTGTTTGGAGAGGAGGCTCTCCGGTATGCACAGGATCGCACGTCAAAAATAAAATGCATCGGGCTTCAGCTGAGGGTCCCTTTCCCCATCAGCATCAGGGCTGCTCGCACAGACCCCGCAGGCACCAAAACCAAGTCCCTCGTTTTGCTGCAAGCCTCTGGATGCGGTTGCTTTGAGTAACAGCATCCCAAACTCTCGGACCAGAGAGACTGAAGGCAATCGCGCGTTGAGCACAACAGCTCTTCTTGCTCCCCCTGCATCCTTGGCCACATCCCGGGCACACCCGGAGTAATAAAGCGTCAGATCTTGGTTCAGGATTTTCCTAAATGCAGGCTGTCATTATGGCTGCTGGTGATTATTTTGCACAAGCATCCAGATACATCCAGGCTGTTTTATTTACATTCCATCGAGGGGAAAAGAGCAAAGCCAGCGTCAAAAACAGACAGGGGAAAACAGGGCCATCTGCAAAGAATTGCTGAATATGTCAGGGTTGTTTTATTTACTTTTGTCAAGGGAAGAGCATAATTACAACAAAACTACTGGAAGAAGAGCTATGCCGAGGGCGCAGGAGGCAGGCAGAGGTGAGAAGACGTGGAGCACATTCCTGAGCAAACTCCGGCTTGGTGACCCCTTATCAGCTGGTTAGGAAAACTAAACACCCCCAGCCTTATTTCTCTAGCTAGAGACGTTTTTTTGTGCTCAATTATTTCAAAACTCATCGCAGAATTTTTCTACCTGTTTTTAGGGCTGATTTCAATCACAGTTAGCGATTCAAGCGTCCGATGCCGGTACCTAACTGCGTTCCCCGCGTCTTG